ACACACGACATCTATATAAAAACATAGTAATAAAACTGGAAAGCTACATCATTCTAAGAGCTGATGAAATAGATTGTGAGAAAAATTTAATAAGCATGTTTTGTAATACCATATATTTTATTGAAAGAGGATATTTTGACTAATTGATATTATCACTAAACTCCAATTTTTTTTTTTTATTATTGTTCCTTTTAAGCATGTTTTTGCACTTTTTCTGCTTGAAACACAATAAAAACTAAGGAAGATAAGAGTAGACTTCAATATTTACAACATGTGCATAAAAATTTCAAACAGAGGACGTTTATTTTTGAAAGACTGCTATTCACACATGGTCACAACGGGAGTAATACTGAATGAAGAAGATTGATCTACAGGAAAATAAATGTTTGAAATCTTCACTGCATTATATTTTATCACATTTTGAATTGTTTGTGTTTATCGTCTTATAAATAACGACATTTCCACCACAAACTGATGCAGAAAAAAAAACAAACCAGTGCATAAAAATTACAATTGGAATCACTCTGCTGTGAGTCTCACAGAGTCAGACCATTGTGTAGTGCTGTGTAGAACGGTCTGACTGCACCTCATCATCTTTTGTTTCTAGGCTTGAAAACAAAACTGTGATGTGCGTAAGATGCAGCAGCAGTGTTCGCTCAAAATAGTGACCGGGGGAACTTGTTTTGATCAACTCAAGGAGATAAGCTGTCAAATTGAAATGTGTTAAGCCATTCCCTAGCACCGAGTAGAATGGTCTACCTCACTAGAACTGTTTCATGGGAGAAAACAAAACTGGGCTGGGTTTCTTTAAACCAATTACAATTGTCTTATGTGCAGCTCACAACAAGATTCTGCAACGGTTTTCATTCAAAATAGTGACAGACTAATTGTGTTGGAGGAAAATTTGCTCACAGGGATGCAAGAACTGACTGAAATGGACAATTTCAGAATCAGATTAAAATCAGAAATACTTTATTGATCCCCTGGGGGAAATTGCATTCTGTTACAGATAATCCCAATCAAAAGTGTTAAAAGAAGTAGGAAAAGTAAAAATATATAATAAAAATATAAACACAAGTCGATATGAAATAAAATATATCTAAACACACACACAAAAAAATATATCATAAGGCTGGCAGTGCTACTTTATCCTGGATAAAACTTGAAATTTACAGTTTGCCGGTTGCTGCTCGAAGATCGTTGTTGTTTCCTGCAGAAAAGGGAGTTGTTTAAATGTAGATAGCGGAAGGAGAGGAGAAAGGCATGAGAAATGAGTAGCCAGTGGCAGGCATGTATCCAAAATCTACTGCCAGTGAGTCATTTGCCTTGTAGAATGGTCTGACTGCATCTCGTAGTCAATTTTTCTTGGGGATAAAACAAAGCTGTGACATGTTTCTTTGAAACAATTACAATCATTTTGAGCATAGAAAGAACAACATTTAACAACAGTTTTACTTAAAATAGTGACAGAAGTATTTTTTGGGTGGGAAATTTGCTCGCAGTGGGGTAGGAACAGACGACAATTTATAATTTACAGGAATAAATTAGCAGTGATTATCAGTGCATGATTCATATCCTCTGTATAATTTTGGAAAAGACCTAAAATGTAGAAAGCGGAAGGAGAGGAGAAAAGCCCCATGAAATGTGTAACCAATAGCAGGCTTATATACAAAGTCTACATCCTGTGAGTCAGACCATTCTGCTGCACACTAAGGACCTGTCACTAAGGACTTGGATAATTTTATAGTTGGACATTTTGACCTTTGCTTGCAATGAAGTATTTTTTACGTTGTCATATCAGAGCGGCAGCAGACACATGGTGGTAAGATAATAATGTTGTATTTCACCTTTTATCCACGACATTGCGTCTTCCAGAACCTTCACCTTGTTGGATTTAAACCATTTCTGTGTAGCTTTGGCTGTTTGGTTCAGTTCATTGTCTTGCTGGAAACCAAATCTTCTCCAAAGTCTCACTTCTCTTATTCACTGCACCAGGTTGTCCTCCAGGATTTTATGCTGCCACCAACATGCTTCACATCATGATGCTGCCACCACCGTGCAGCAGAGTGGGGATTGTGTGTTGATGATGATGTGCAGTGTTTGGTGTCCACCAAATATAGCATCTACTCTAATGGTCAAAAAACATAATTTTCTAATTAGATTTGTATCATATATAATTTTATATAAATTTCATGATTTTTAAGGAACCTTCCTCCAGTTGACTTCTGAGTGTCCTAAATGCCTTTTGGTGAACTTTACTCCAAATTTAACATGAACTTTTTTCAAAGTGTCTCTTTGTCACTCTTCCATAAAGCTTTGACTGGTGAAGAACAGGAAACAGTTGCTGTATGAACAGTTTTTCCTATCTCAGCTCTTTCAGAGGAATCATCAGTGTCTTGGTGGCCTCCCTCACTAGTCTCTTTCAAGCAGAGTGAGTCAGTCTTTAGGGACAGCCATGTGATGTGTTTCTTAATAATAGATTGAACTATACTCCAGAAAATATTCAATGACTTGGAAATTTCCTTGTAACCATCCCCTGACTTACACTTTTCAGTAACCTTGTCATAGAGTTACTTGGAGTGTTTAGTCTTCATGATGTAGTTATATGCAGGAGTACTGATCCACCAGAGACTGGACCTTCCAGATACAGGAGTCTTCATACTACAATCACTGAGATAGATTCACTGCACTCAGATGATCTTTATTTTGCTAAATGTGTGACTTCTAGCATCACCTCTGTTGAATTCATGAATCACTTTAATGGGGGTGAATACTTACCAGATCACTTATTTTACATTTTATGTTTTTGTAATATGTTTTTAATTAATTCACATTACTTTGTAGAAAACCATTTTTCACTTTGATATTAAAGACATTTTTTTGTAAATTCTTGTCAAAAAAGTTGTTAATGTTGTATTTGGGTGGCAGGAGTGTGAGCTGCTCGCTGTCTCTTCTCCCTGCAGACGAACAAGACAGAGCCTGAACCTGGAGGAGGATCTGATCTGTGTTCAGTCTTGTCCGCTGCAGCCTGCAGGGCCCAAAACTCAGCAA